GGATTGTTTCCTTCTTCAGCTGTAAAAGCTGAAATAATCCATCTTGTTTTAAATGAGGAAGAATCTGAGAGCTCATATTCCAAATACTCGTATAGGTTTGGTATTGAAAAATCTGGCATTTTACTTTTAAGTTTTAAAATAAAGAAGCCAATCTGAAGAGAGGCTAAAAATAATGAAGAAGAAATATAAAGGAATTTGTTTTAACAAAGAAATGTAAAGCAGTGATTCTCTATTGATGTCCCACATTTAGGTATAATTGTCCACAAATCAAGCATAAGGGGCATAAGGTGGTCTAGTAAGTGGTCACGTATTTCAAGCTTCTACCTTGTAAGGGAACTTCTATAAATGTCAGACTTTCAGAAAGCTGCTCTTGAACTACTGGAGACAATATACAACTCTTTTCATAAGATCAGCATAAGGCCTCATCCTGTTACACAAGCATGTGTAAAATGTTTTTAATGCTCCTTTAGATTAGACGTTGAAACACTGAACATCTTTACCTATTGCATAATTTCTATTGGTAAATATTTGGCCCTCCAGCAATAGTCAACTGGATGTCAGGACTTTATTGTCTATTTTGGGCAGGCAGTTAATCTTTTCGTCTCACATATCCCTCCATTCAGTCGGGGATCTCGGGGCTGAGAGTGCATGTTCAGCCCCACCCAATGGGTCACATTGTGCTTGGCTAAGTTGTCCTGACTTGGATGCTGCTGAATATAATTTCATGACAAGCAGCTCTAACATGTCAACCACCCACGTATTTAATACGGGACAATGAATCCTTAAGTCAATCAAGTGATATAACACCTTTTTAAAAAGAACAAATCCCTGGAAAGGGCAAAGAAAAACTCTATTTTTTATAATAACAATAACAACCTCCACCAATCAGCTACAAATTAATTTTGAGACAAGGATTGATGTCAAATTTAAGCTTTTTCCAAGTATATTACACCCACTTGTTTTTACCTCAGGATAGCGATTACTGGTGTCACATTGGTCTTGCGCCTAATGGGAATACTTGTTTACAAGTTTTTCATTCCAAGTTCACACACTTGTTTTAGTGATCACTAGGCGTCTCCTTTGAAAACTGGGTCTCCTTTTGAGATTTGCTGTCTATATCATATTGTGTTGTGTTTGGCCAGTTAAGAATGAGCCTGTGTTTAAGTGAAACCTGAAACATTATACAGTGAAAAGCAACACTGGAGTGCAATCTTTAGTATCAGGGCGTTTTAACCTGAACAGAGATTTGAGAAGTTCACCTTTGATGAGGATATTTAATCCAACTAGTTTTGTTTGTTTGTTTTTAGCTCTCCTGCTATCCATCCATAGATAGCTCTACCACCCATCCTTTATATACAGCATATACGTCATGTCTGTGATGTGCTATTTTTTAAATGACTCTATGTCTTCCCATCAAGCCCCTTGTCCTCCAGCCAACCCGATGTTGTTGCGGGACTGCAACAGTGATGTCATCATTTTTTCATGGAATCAGACAAACGAAGCAAACCACTACTTGGCCAGGGCAGTCGACTCCAAGGTATTATATTTTAGATTTACAATTGGTTATTTTTGTCAAATAATAATTGCACAACCTTTTTTCATCCAATAAAAACATCTTGCTGAGAACTGAATGAGAAGATTCCTTTATTAAGCTTTAGAAATTCTGGTAGGCAGATTTCATGCAGAACTAGACAGTCTGTTTGAACATTTCCAGCCAGTTTCTTAAACTATCTCCTTAATTTTTGCTTGTTTAACACTGTTTTTCTCATCTCTTTAAATTCCCAAGACTTTATCTACCTAAGTAGAAAACAGAATCATAGAAGTTGGATTTCAAAAAAGAAAGTTTTTGAGAGTCTTGACATACACATTATCTTAAAGTGGTCAGATCAACAGAAACCTAAAATCTTTTCCTCAAATGTTGACCTTTGTGATAAACTAGAACATGTAAATTAGCACTGGTTAAATATTAAATATTCTTCTTTGCACCCAGGGAATGGTCAGGGAATGCATGACTCAAGAAAACAATTGTTATTTCACAAATACATACTGTGGACGGTACTACTCCTTCACAGTTCAATCTGTGTCTGGGAGTTGCTCAAGTGGCCTCAGCTCTCCTGTTGGCGTTCGCACAGGTATGATTTCAATAAATCTGCAACATAATTTTGGGTAACTAATGTCACATTTTCTAGTGAATGATTTGACAAATTTATCTCACTGGGGCTAACTATTTAAACAGTCTTTTATCTGCAAATGATTACATTTTTAACATTCCAAATTGTAACAGTTTTTGAACAGGAAATTTAACGTATTCCTGGTTCTGAGAGAAACTGAAGTGCGTTCTCATATAAGCTCTCTGTGATGAATGTGATGAATCCAATTTACAATATCAGTTGTGTTCAGCTTCTCGTTTATAAATGAAAACATTTTAGTACATTTATGCAATTCTTTATTTCCACTCTTTCCAGCACCCTGCATTCCGCAGAATCTGGAAACAGTAGCCGACTGCAGCGTTGACAATTTGCTCAGCAAGTGGGACAATGCTGAGGGGGCACTGTACTACACCGTGGCAGCTGTGGGCAACTACAGAAACAGCAGCTACAACTGCAGCTCAGTGTCCAACAGCTGTGTTATGAAGGGCGTCAAGTGTGGAGACCATCTGACCGTCACCATCAGATCTTTTGACAATGACTGTCCCAGTCCAACACAGCTGGGGTCACCGGCTGAGACAAGTGAGGAACACATGTTAGAGCAGGGGTGGGCAATCTCAGTCCACGAGGGCCGGTGTCCCTGCAGGTTTTAGATCTCACCTTGGGTCAACACACCTAAATCACATGATTAGTTCGTTACCAGGCCTCTGGAGAACTTCAGGACATGTTGAGGAGCTAATTTAGCCATTTAAATCAGCTGTGTTGGTTCGAGGACACATCTAAAACCTGCAGGGACACCAGCCCTCGTGGACTGAGATTGCCCACCCCTGTGTTAGCGCCTCAGACATCTGCATTTGCATTCACTCCATTAACCCAAAAGGGCACAGACCCATTTTTACTGCCAGGAAAACTATAATAGAGCCGATGTTAAAAATTTAGCATGACTTTCCTCAGTGTGTAAAGGGGCAGTGACACAGGTTCTTATGAGTTAATTAGTTTATACAAATCTTATAACTAAGATTTTATCAGTAAAACATATTTAGTATGCCAACCAAACCATTCTCAGTGTTATATTTACATATTTGCATATTTCAATTAATTAAATGTTTATTTTTAATAGCATTGTATTAATTGAGCCAATATTTTATATGCAACAGGATAATCTGTATTGTATCTACATTACTCTAAGTTGCATTACTGCAAATTCAGCTGTTTACATATTTTAGTATTTAGTGGTATCTTGCGTTGAGGTTGCAGATTGCAGCTAACTGACTACCTGAACCTTACCAAGCATGTAAGAGAACCTATGGTGGTAGTAACGTTTACATAGGTGGTTCAATCTAGGCTCAGTGTTTGGTTATAGTAAAACATGGCAGCACAACATGATGCAGTCTATGGTGGATGACCCATTCCTACACAGCTATGCAAGATTCATTCTAAGCTTGACAAATGATTAACTGCAAGTGAAAACATTATGAATATATTATATTACATGTCTTTGTTACATTTTACCACTGGATATATATAGAATATAGCCAATAAACAAGCAAGTACTAATTCTATTTCCAAAGAACAATGTTTTTTAATGTCTTGCTGTATAATTTAATTGATTATCTTAAAATTTTTGGACTGTTGGTTTGTTAAAAAAAACTGTAAAAGACATGACCTGAAACTGTAGGAAATTTTGACTAGATTTTGCCTTTTATAAAGTTGAAGAGTAATTAAAAGAAATCTGTAGATGTATTTGCAATATAAACAAACAAACAAACTAAAAACTAAAAATAGATTGTTTACTTAATTCTAGTACTGTGAAAGTGTTCCAGGTTGGTATTATTATTAACTTTGTTGCTTTCTACCTCAGTGCCATGCACTCCCCAGAACATCTCAGCAGAGAGAAATTGTGCAAAAGACTCCATCTCTGTGAAGTGGGAGATGAGCAACGCAGCACCTTTCTATGTTGCAATGGCAAAGGACAGCAATGGGGTCATTCATAGCTGCAACTCCGTGGATATGTTGTGTACGATCAGTGGCTTGAAGTGCAGCACCAGCTACAAAGTCTATGCTATTGCCTCCAACTTTGTGTGCAACAGCTCTGAGAGTGACATGTTTACCATAGAGACAGGTAACCTCTAGTGAAGATGCTCATTTAGTTACTTTATGTAAAAGTTGCCAAGATGTGCATCTTTTTTCTGAGTAACCATTAATGACTAAAATGTCACAGTCATATTTGCACATTTCTTTTATTTTATTAAAAGTTAAATACTGTTTTGTTTCTTTCTGATTGATAATGGCCCACTTGTGTCATTTCAGCTCCCTGCCCACCAAATAACCTCACTGCCACCCTGGACTGTGCAGCCAATGAGGCTCTGATTTCGTGGCATGGAAGCGTGAATTCCTACACTGCTACCATTATAGATTCAAGTCAGCGACTTTTAAGCTGCAGTTCCACTGCAACCAACTGCAAAATACCTAACCTGAAATGTGGCGAGCGCTACACTGTGACTGTCAGCCAGCATGACGGCAACTGCTCCAGCATGCCCTCTACGCACATCTACATGGAGTCTGGTAGGAAAATTTTCAAAATACATTAAAAACTGACCTCATATCAATTAGTCAGATCTAGCGTAGTGCTGATGCTGATAGTCTGAAAAGGCCTAAAATGCTTTTTGTACACAGAAAAAGCAGTTTTGATTTACTGTAACAAAAAGGTGTGTTCCCTCCGACTATCCTGAGACCACAAGAGTCATTTTGCTCCACCAGCACCTGACCAGTAATCACTAACCAGGGGCTACATCCATTTATGAAGTCTAGAGCTTAGCAGTTTGGAGTCAACTGATTTTGACACTAGACAGAGAACTGACTGAGAACCTGAGGGACACTACACACTTGTACATTAGACTGTCAATCGCATGGTAGACCTGCCAAATTTAGCTTCTTAACTCTAATGAATGACATTAATTAAAGTGATCAACATGTTATATTCACTATTGCTACAACACTGAGCCCTATACTAGCAATACTCTGAAAGTATTTACAGAGGTCATAGATCTTGAAGAGTCACCCCCTGCTGGCCACTAGAAAGAATGTAGGTTACAGGCGCTTTAGCGTTGGCTTAGTTTTCACACCCAGATACAAATGATCTCTTTTCTACTAAGACAGACAGTGAGGCTCTAATATAGTGGATCTTTGCCTTTCCATTTCCCTAAACATACTTTCGATATTAAGTTTGACAGAAGGATTAGTTTTGAATATAAAATTAAATGAAAGTTATTGATTCACCAATTCATTTCTTAGCTGCCTGCCTTCACCTACCCTTCTTCTCTTTTGTTCAGTTCCTTGTGGGCCAGCCAACGCAAGTGCCAGAGTGGACTGTGCATCAGGCAATGTGACAATAAACTGGAACCCATCCCAAAATGCAGAACGTTATATCGTCATAATCTCAAACGGCACCATGCCGTTGACGTATGAGACCACACAGACAAACCTGGCAGTCCACACACTGGAGTGTGGCCAGGAGTACACAGTGAATTTGATGTCCTTCAATGGCAGCTGCGTCAGTCGTCCTTCAGAGTTATATTTCAGGGAAGGTAAGAGAAGTTAACTCTATAAAGTTTTTTTAATTCATTGATTCAGTG